TATTATATATATATATATATATGTATTATATATATATGTATGTATGTATGTATGTATGTATGTATGTATATGTAAGAATAGATTGAATACAAACAAATACAAGAGAGCTTGGAGAAGGAAGGCAGTGACAGCTGGATGGGAGAAGGGGGAGGGAGGAAGGGAGGGAATCAGAAAAGGCTTCCTGTACCATTTATGAAGCACCACTTGACTGAACTGTGCCTTGAAGAAAAATAAAGGATTCTATGAAGTGGAGGGAAAGGAGTGCATTCCAGGCATGGGAGGACTACCAGCTCAGAGGCATGGAGATGAGAGATGTAGTGTTAGGTGTGAAGAACAGAAAGGTCAGTTTGGTTGGACTGTAGAGTGAGGGAAAGTATTGTGGCTGAAAAGGTAGGTCCTGGCCAGACTGTGAAGTGCTTTAGAAGCCAAACAGAGGAGTTTATAGGACTCTTCTTTTCCAAAGCAATAGAGAGGTACTGAAGTCTAATAAGGAGGAGATTGACATAGTCAAGCCTGCACTCAAGGAAGTCATATTTGATGACCACCACCTTCTTCATGAAGCTTTCCTGACCATCCCAGGCCCCATTTCTCTCCCTCTTCCTTCACTGCACTTGGAGTCTGTGCTTTATAATTTAATTGGTTGTATCCAATCTCGAATCTTTTGCTATTTCCCAGCTATCTATCTTGTCTCGCCACCTAGAATGCAAATACCTTGAGGGAACTGACTGGCTTCTTTTTCTCTATACTGCCCACAATTTAGCCTTGCACAATACTACACGTAGAGGAGGCTTTCAGGAAACACTTGCTTGACTCACTTTTCCTTTTAGACACTGCAAGTGACATTTCAACCTTTCCAGGTACCCCAGACCAGAAGGGATTTGTCTCTCCTTTGAACTCATAGCACTTTATACTCCACTTCCCTGTTTATCATGGTCTGATTTCTATTTGATTTGTTGATACAAGTGTGTGTGTGATGGCAGATAGAAGGCCTTGACTTGGGAATAACTTGAGTTCAAATCCTACCTCTGAAACATATTAGCTGTGTGACCATGAGCAAGTCACTTAAACTTTCAGTGCCTGGGACAGCTCTTTAAGACTATAAGGTACAGAGGAGTTACCTACACACCCATGTAATGACAGGTTCAGAGCACTACACACACACACACACACACACACACACATACACACAATGATCTATCCCTTCATGCCCCACCTCCCTCCTCCAAGTAAAAATAATGCCTTGAGTTCCTCGAAGGCAGGAAATACAGCATATCTTGTATCTCTCATAACACTTAGCCCAGTGCTTTATACCAGGGTCTTGGTACAGTTTTAGGCTTTAATAAAACTGTGCCAAGACTTCTAGAATACTCTGTATTTGTTGTTGTTGTCATTGTTGTTGAGTTATTATTCAGTCATATCTGACTGTCTGTGATCCCATTTGTGACTTTCTTGGTTAAGATAATGGAGTGGTTTGCCATTTCCTTTTCCAGATCATTTTACAGATGAGGAAACTGAGGCAAACAGTGTCTGAGGCCACATTTGAACTCAGAAAGATGAGTCTTCCTGTCTCCAAGCCTGGTACTCTATCCACTACACCACCTAGCTGCCTGGATACTCTATACAGTAGATTCTTTATGGATGTTTTTTAAATTAATGTTGAATAATATTAAGGTATAGTCTCCTCCAGTAATTCTCTGCTTTCAGATGGAGCCAATTTGTTCCTTAAATTCTGCATACGCTGTGTGTCTTAACCTGGGAGAAGACAAACTCCTCTGCAGGCTTCTTCTCTTGCCTTAAAAATGAGGATTTTAAAATAGTGCTTAATGCTTCCTTCCTTCATAACTTTGGAATGAAAAGCACTACTTTGATGGGATTAGGTTGAAACAGTGTAGGGAGAGGAAAAAGAAATGAGAGAGTAAAGAGAAGAAATGAGAGGAAAACAGAGTAAAAGAAGAATGGGGGAAAGATGAAAGGGGAGAGGAGAGGAGTACAGGAGGGGAGAGGAGGAATGGAAAGGAGAAAAGTAGAAAAGTAAGGAGAAGAGAAGAAAGGGAAGAGAGGAATAGAAAGGGCAGAAAGTGGAAGGTAGAGGGGAGAGGAGGGAAGAGAGGGGAAAAGGAAGAGAAGAGAGGAGAGAAGGAAGGATAGTGAGGAGAGGATGAGAGGAGAAAAATGAGGGAGGATAGGAGTAGTGAAGAAGGAGAGGAAAGAGAGAAGAGATCAGAAGAGAAAAGAGGTGAAAGAGAGGAGAAACAGAGAGGGGAAGAGAAGAGGAAAGGAGAAGAGATCAGAGAAGGAGAGATAAGGATAGAGGAAGAGAGAAGTGGAGGAAAGAGGAAAAGGGGGACAAAGAAGGGAAGAGAGGAGTTGAGAAGAAGAGAGGTAGAGGAGTGGAAGAAAGGGAGAGAAGTGAGAAGACAGGAGGAGAGAGAAGAGAAAGGAAGAGAAAGAAGAGGAGTGAAAGAAAGAGGAAGATAGGAGTGGGGTAGAGGAGAAGAGAGGGGAAAGAAGGGGACAAAGGGAGAAGGGAAGAGAGGAGTTGAGAAGAGGAGAGGTGGAGGAGAGAAGAAGAGAGGAGAGGAAGAAGGAAGAGAAGTGAGAAGAGAGGAAGATAGAATAGGAGAAAAGAATAGAAAAGAGGAGAAAAGAGATAAATGAGAGAAAAGAAGAAAGAAAAGAATGGGTAAGAAAGGACAGATAAAAGAGAAGAGTAGAGGATAAGGGAAATGAGGAGAGAGAATAGGGAGGAGAGGAGAGGAGAGAGAAAAAAGAAAATCTGCTAAAAAAAATCCATGTATTGATTATTTGTACTGCAAATTCCTGAGATCTATTGTATCAGTCCTTTCTGAATATTCTGCCTATTTTTTTCCCCTCCCAATTGCACTGTTCATTAGTGGAGAAAACAAACGGTTCTGGAACTCAAAACAGTTGCCTTTCTTCCCCATGAGGAATTGGAACAAGTAGTGTGAGTGGACACAGCCTACCTACCTAAATGGTATTTATGGCTTCTCAGCGGTAAATGTTAGATCTTTGCATAGTTCTTCCTTTTTTATTTATTTTTTTGGCTAAACAATAGGGTTAAGTGACATGCCCAGGGTCATACAGCTTAGCAAGTATTACATGTCTGAGGCCAGATTTGAACTCAGGTTCTCCTACTCCAGGGCCAGTGTTCTATCCACTGCATCACCTAGCTGCTCCGGTTCTTCATATTTTATGAAGTGCTTCCTTCATAACAGTTTGTAAGGTAAGCTGTTAGAGGCCTGGGCAGAGGGTGGGGATACCCAGAAGGGATCCAGACCTGTCATTTCTCTGGTGTCAGAGAGTTCCTGGATGCTGAACTTCCTCCACAGATACAGATTAGCAACTAACTCTTCTGCAACTTATAGTCTTGGCTGCCTGGAACACAGAGAGATGAAATGACTTGTCTAGGGACAATTATACAGAAAGTGTCAGATGTGGGTCTTTGAACTGGTCTTCTTGACTCTGAGTTCTTTCTCTGTGCAAGTATTATTATGACTATTTTACAGATAAGGAAACAGGCTCAGAGAGGTGAAATGATTTGCTCACAGCTAGTGAGTATGAGAGACAGACCCCTGTTAAAATGCTGATGTTTTATAAGGTCTACCCATTTTTGCTTTCTTTATGTATCATTCCAAGCCCTCAAGATAGGGAAAGGGAAATTTCTTCTGCTGAGGCTCTCCTGAATCCACTTGAAACTCATCCCAGGTGAGCAAGAGTCCCCTTCCCATCCCCAAAGAGTGGTCATTAAGCCATACCTCTGGGAGTCAGTCTATCCCCTTTGGGGTCCAAATAATTCTGCTCCAGGGAAGTTAGGAAGACCAAGAAGATGGAAGCGGAAGTCAGAAGATAAGGGAGATGTGGTTTCTGACTTTAAGTCCAAAGATGTCTAAATACAGTGTTGGCTTAGGAGACAATAGACTCCATTGTGGAGAGAGGGAAGGAGACAAAGTTGGGGGTTAGTCCAAATGTGGGAAGACAGGTACTCCATCCCCAGGAAGGCATAGGTGGGTGAATCCTGGGCACTGGGGGGGGACGGGGAGGTACTGATGGAAAAGAGTGAGAGGAACCCCTAGAAACTAGTGTGAACAGGGGGCTATTTCTTCCAAGGGCAAGGGAAACTGAAGGTGAAGTGATCTATCAAGTAGAAGCAATAACAGCATATGATATGCCGTTGAGAGGAATAGGGAGAGTAATTTTCCCACAGCAGGTGGGAGCTAGGTTGGCAGGGCACAGGCAAGGGATTTGAAATCAAATTATATCAGAGCTGGAAAAGTCTTTAAAGATCATTTAGTCCAACAGCCTCATTTCATAAATGGGGAAACTGAGACCCAGCGAGGGGAAGTGACTGTCCAAGGTCGTACAATTAATTAGAGGCACAGCTGGGACTAGAACCCAGTTCTCTTGACTCCCAATCAATCCAATGCTCTTTCCAGCAAAGAAAAACTGCCCAGAAGAACTGTTCACAGCAGAAAATTTCTTCTACAGCCTCAAACTCACACCTCCCAACAAGGTTCCCGGATTCCCCCAAACTTCATAAAATTAACCCAGACCCAAAGGCCTCTTTGGGTGCAGAGACGACAGAGCCTGATAAGAGACCTGAGAAAAGGGATGTCAAGCAGACAGAGAGATAGAGACAGACAGACAGAGAGCACTGACAAATTGTCGAAGAGAAAGGGAAGGAGCTAATGCGTTCTCCCGCAGAAGCTGGTTACTCCTGGGATTCCCGACCGCGGAGGGCAGGAACCGGGATGGGGGAAGACTGGGGAGGACACCCTGAGCAGGGGAGAAAGGAGGACAAGAGGGAACGTGGGAAGTAGAGGGGCGGCTCGCCCGCGGATATGGCGCTCTCGCTCTGAGCCGGGGGCTAGGCTGCCCGCGGGGAAGGGACACGCAAGTTGGGCCACCTGTGTGGGTGACAGACAAGACGCACGCAGGTTCTGGCGCCCCGGGCTGGAGCTGGGCTTGGGGACCGGCGTTACCTGGGGCGGGAGGCTGAAGGGGATGGGCAGCAGCACCAGCGGAGTGGCCACCAGCACCAGCAGACGCCGGATGCACCACAACTTCGTGGCCAGCGCCCCGAGCGCCGCCATAGCCCGGCAGAACCCGGACCCGGGACCCAACTAAGCGCGGGGCCAGCAGCGGGAGTGGGGCGGCCGCGGGGACAGCGGCTTTATGGCCAGGGGGAGGGTCCGCGGGGGGGAGGGTCCGCGCGGGGGAGGGGTCTGCGGTGGGGCGGCCCCAGCCGCCCGCCCAGCCGGAGCTCCCCGCCCCCTCGGAGCTCCTTCCCTCCGCCCACTCCAGGGGCAGCAGGTCCCTGGCGAGAAGGGCCCCGGAGCCAGAGCTCCTCATCTGCCCCAGTGGGATCCCCAAGGACCCTTACGGCCGAAGAACCTCTTAGGACTCAGGCCACTTCGGAGTGGTCAGGTGTTGCGGCGCCAGATAGACCTGGACCTAGAGTTCAGAGATCTGGGTTCAAGTCCCGGCTCTGACACTGCTTCGTCTTACGCTGCGAGCAAGTCACTTCTCTCTGAGCCTCAGTTTTCTCACTTGTAAAATGGAACTAATACTTTCTTCACTAGGTGGTTGTTGAATATCAAATGAAATAGTATGGATCGGAATACTTTGTAACTTTAACAAAGACATTCAGTGTAGGGGATGTCGCTGGTACTAGACCGCAACCCTTCCAAGCCTTCCGTCTACAGGAGTTCTTTAGGCTTTAAAAATGAATGACTGGAGAGAAGAAAAAGAAAAAAAAAACACCAAGGAACTTAGCTTAGGTCCGCTAGCTCTCCTAGGAAAGTCCACCAGAATGTCCTTCTAGAACCCAGGGTCAACTCGCTTCGAAGAGGCATCAGAAGACTACAATATATCTTATGGAAAACTATTATTCCAAGAGGAAGATACCTATTGGGAGTTATAAAAGTCACAGTCTTTGGGATTCTATGCTGGATTTTTCCACGGCTTCCGGTGAAATTGCCTTTACAGAATTTCAGGCTTCCCGAAAGAAAAAGAGAAGGAGAAGACTTGCCGAAAGAAAAAAAGGAGGGGAAGATTCCTATCTCCCAAAAGGCTTATCTTTCATGTTGGGAGTGGGGGAAGGTGTTGGTGGTACCACCAATTTAGCTTTTATCTACCAAGCAACCTGGCCCCAATCTATCCTTCCAGCCTCCTTGGACATCATTCCTCCTCCCAAACTCTGCCATACAGACAAATTGGCCTTTTTTGTCCCTCACTCACACACAGCCCTCCATCTCCCTCACTCACACACAGCCCTCCATCTCCTAACTTCACCTCTTTGCCCCAGCTATCTCCACTGTCTGGAATACAGTCCCTTCTTACCTCGACCTCATCCAGTGCCACTTTACCTTTAATATTCAGTCAAGTCGTGTCTTCTAAATTAAGCCTTTCGTGATCGCCTCAGTTGCTTGTGTCCTACCTCCCAAAATGCCTTGTATTTAACTACTTTGTGTGTGTATGTTTGTATTTATTCACTTTATATTATGGTGTATGTATTTATTGTTGTATATATTTATTGTTGCTGTATAAATTTATTTCTGTATGTGCTATATATATTTGCTGTTGTCTGCTCCCTTTAGAATTAAGTTCATTGCAAATAAGGATAGTTAAATTCTTAGTACTAGTACTCCTAGTGCCTAACATAGTATCTGGCATATAGTAATCACTTAAATAATTGATTGATTGATTGATTGATTGACTGATTAATCAGATGAGAAATTCCAGGATCCTTGGAGGCATTCAAGTGCAATGGAAAAACCACTGGATTTCAAGTCAGAGGAATGGGTTTGAGTCCCAGATCTGCCATTTGCCTCACAAGTGACACTGCAAAAGTCACATCTTCTCTGATCCTCAGTTTCCTCAGCTGTAAAACAAAAGGGGTGGACTAGATGATCTCTAAAGGCCCATATAGCTTTACATTTATAACCTTGGGGTAAGAGGACCTAGAAGGACCTTAGAGGAAAGGGAGATGATGAATCTTGTCAGAGAGGAAAGCTCAGAGAGTTGCTGGCTCTCTGAAAGAGCCAGAAGTAAATGTGGAATTGATTCCCCTCACACACACACAACCTAAAACTGTTCCAGGAACAATAATATTAATTACAATTCTTTGCATTTATATAATGCTTCATAGTTTTCAGACCCCTTTCAGTCTGCCACAATGTTTTATCCTCACAACCCTCTGAAGCAGTTAGAAGAGATGTGAGTCTCTCCATTTTACAGATGAGAGATAGGGGATTAATAGAAGAGCTGAGACGAGAAGCCCAGACAGATTAATTGACTTGTTCCACGTCACCCAGCAAGTTAGTGGCAGGAACAAAAAGTGGGCCTCAGGTCCTCTGACTCTCAAGCCCCAGGCTCTGTCCAGCTTTCCTTTCCTAATCAGCAATATCTCCCTCCTTTCCCCAAAGAATTTGTCTTCAGGGGTGCTGGGAGGCTGTCTGGATCCTAGGAAATCTCTTCCAGCACTATCCCACTTTAAGCCCCCAGAGTGGAATTAAGCCATGATAGAAGGATGTATAAAGAGCTGCCCTGGCAAAGGGAAGATCTTAGGTGCAATCATCATCATAATAATTATAATCCTAACAACTAGCCCAAACCGGTCTTCCTGCTTCCAGCCCATCCTATACACTGATGCCAGCGTAATCTTCCTAACACAGTACTTTGATCACATCTCAGCCCTGGTCATATACCTTCAATGATTCCTACTGAAGCTGGAACTGTCAGAGAAGCTGGAGAGGGGAACCCATTTGCTCCAGATAACCCACGAGGTCCTGGACTTCAAGGACTCCATCATCTGGCCCCAAACTACCTTATTTCATACCACTCCCTACTATGTGTCTCATGCTTAAGCCCAAGGGGTATCCTAACTGTTCCTCCAATGCCTCCTTTGTTTTCTCCAAATGTCCCCTGAGCCTTCCCTGACTACTCCAGCTCATTACTAGACTTGCTGTCTACTCCTTATTGGACACTTAGCAAAGATTGCTCGATCTGCTGTTGTTATTGTTATCTTTTCATGTGTGTGTGTCTTATCTCCCCAGCTAAATTATAAACTTCATGAAGGTAGGGACTGGATTTCATCCATTTCTGTATCACCAGCACCAACCGTGGGACTTCATGCACAGTAAACAATCCAATCCAACAAGCAGTTTACTAAGAGCCCATTATGTGCTAGGCCCAGGAGGATACAAAGACAACAATTGAAATAATCCCTATTCACAAGGACATTACCTTCTAATGGGAGAAACAAATGCATATATAAATGTACACAAAATATATATATACATGTGTACATATATATATATATGTATATAGAGAAAATAAATACAAAGTAGTTAAATATAAAACAATTTGGGGGGATAGCACTAGCAATTGGAGCAGGGGGAATGTAAGCTACAATACCCCCTTTTCCAAGATGGATATGGGAATCACAGGACATGGAATATCAGAGCTGAAAAGGACATTAGAACATGAAAATTAGAACGGCACAGCTGGAATGGCCCTTAGGGGTCAGCTGATCCAATCCTTTTAGGTTTTTTTATTAATTTATTTATTTTTAGTTTTCAACATTCACTTCCATAAGCTTTTTGTTTGTTTGTTTGTTTGTTTTTTGTCTAGACAATGGGGTAATTGACTTGCTCAGGGTCACACAGCTAATAAGTGTTATGTGTCTGAGGCCAGATTTGAACTCAGGTCCTTTTGACTCCAGGGCTGGCGCTCTAACCACTGTGCAATCTAACTTCCCCCTCCATAAACTTTTAAGTTTTAAATCTTCTTCGCCTCCCTCCCCAAGACAGCACGTAATCTGATATAGGCTCTACATATACATTCTTATTAAACATATTTTCACATTGGTCATGTTGTTAAGAAGAATTAGAACCAAAGGGAGGAACCGTGAGAAAGAAGAAGCAAAACCCACACACAAAAACTAGAGAGCAAACAGCATGCTTCCATCTGCATTCAGACTCCACAGCTCTTTCTCTGGATGTGGATAGCATTTTCCATCATGAGACCTTTAGAGATGTCTTAAATCCTTGCATCACTGAGAAGAACTAAGTCTATCAAAGTCAGTCATCACACAAAGTTGCCGTTACTGTGTACAGTGCTCTCCTGGTTCTGCTCATTTCACTCAGCATCAGTTCATATAAGTCCTTCCAGGTTTTTCTGAAATCTGCTTGCTCATCATTTCTTATAGCACAATAGTATTCCATTACATTCATATACCACAACTTGTTCAGCCATTCCCCAACTGATGGACATCCCCTCAATTTCTGATTCTTGACCACGACAAAAAGAGCTGCTATAGATATTTTTGTACATGTGGGTCTTTTCCCCATTTTTATGATTTCTTTGGGATACAGCCCTAGAAGTACCAACCCTTTCATTTTACAAAGGAGAAAATGGAGGCCTAGAGCAGATCAGTAACTTGCTCAAAGTCACATTAGTAGATCTGGGACTAGATTAAAGTCCCTGTTCCTCCTCCCTCCAGAGCAAAGGGCCATCTTGATAATGTCCCTTCAGCCTCCCAGGCTAAGTACATGCCTCATGGTTCTCTGAGACCATTCAGCTGTTGCTCCTATCCATCCTCTGTTTCTCTCTTGCCCACCTGCTTTGAAACTATCCTTCCTAGCCCACCCACCATGTCTCCGAACAGATAACCAGTTACAGCAAAAGCTGTTGTCATCAAAAGCTAGCAAGAGGAGCCCAGGGATCAGGCAAACAAACAGAAAAATACTAAAAACTAACCCTGCCAGGGATCAAGGCATAAAAGGAGAGGCAGCTGTTTGGGGGTGACAAAGCTACCGCTTACAGAGTAGTGTTCTCTTCCCCATCCCTCAGGGGTCCCTGGAGAAGTAAATGATTATGATATGGATCAGCTGGACAGTAATATGCCATTTTCTGAATTGCCGTCATGTGTCAAGGAAAGATCAGTGGAACTAGAGTAACAAGATCTGGGCTGGAATCCTAGATTACCACTTCAGGGCTATGTGGAAATGGACAAGTCCCTTAACTTTTCAGAGATGAGACTCAGTAAAATGGGGATGAGAGGTAGCCATGTTCAGTCATGTCTGACTCTTTGTGACCCCATGTGGGGTTTTCTTGGCAAAGATACTGGAGTGGTTTGC